TGTAATGTAAGTGATTTTTAACTACTTGACCATGAATTTTTTCGGGGGTGGGGCGACTGGGGGTGGGAGCGAGTAGATACGCCACTCTGCATCGGAAGTTTGAAAACTAATTAAGAAAAAAAGTTAAAATGTTGTGAATGAGTTAACGTAATAAAACGATGAAGCGTCCAACATAATGCGAAGAATAGGCCATCCATCTCTTGAATCTTGGGTAATATTTGCTTTGACACACCAAAATCTACCACGTTTGTCGAATGGATGTACTGAGGGTGACAGTTGCCGGTCTGACAGTTCTCTTGCCGACACCCTCTCCCCCAAGAGCTGCAAACCGCCGATACCTAGCTATACTCTGCAACCAACAATGGAAGCTGATTCGATGTTGGTCATTAAACCAGTCACTGGCATATGCAGTCGCTAGCAGCATGTGGACGTCGTGTTCATAGTCTAAGCCACATCGTGCAAAACGATCATAGCATCGTTTAATAGCAGTAAAAATGCTATCTGCATCGATCGAGTCCGGTTTATTCAGTAAATTACGTGCGATTAAAACCGACAATCGGGCGATGGATTCTGCGTTTGTTCCATACAAATATATAGAATCAAAATCAGAATCACCATCATTCGGTCGTGAGAATAATTCTTCTTGGACTTTTTGCAGCTCTTTTCTCGTTTTAGTCAATTCCTTCTCATATCGACGATTGCGAGAAAGCGATTCATCTAAATTATCCTTTAGGCGTTTTATTTCCAATTCCCTGCGAGCAAGACGAAGTTCAAGGCGTTGGTTTGATTTGTCTTTATTTGGACTTCGGCATTCTATATCGATTCCTCCTGACACGACAGCAGTTATTTCTTCACATTTCATTTGATGTGAGGGAAGTGCAAGACGGCTGACGGTAACGCCGCAACCAGCGCAATCCACGGGTGCATAACCGCAGCGTTTCGTGTGCTCTTCCATCGCCTCAACTTTCATCACAAGTTGGCAGCCTTTCTCTTGAAAATCACATTCAATGCACATATTATTCACTAGGCCTCGGATTGACCAAACTGCACTGGCTTCATCTGATCGCATGGGCGATCGACACTGCGGGCACGCCCCTGCACCAGGTCGCTCTAGCCAGGTACCCAAACATACCTGGCAGAAACAGTGGCCACAACGTGTAACCACGGCATCCTGTAATATACCTGCACAAATTCCACAGCATAGATTAGGATCAGGCTGCGACACAAACCGATGTATAGCAAATCCCATTTTCCGAATGTGAAAAAATTAATTTAAAAATACATTCTTTCTCCCAGGACGAAAAAATAAAATGTTAGCACTCAAACGTTTATTTAGAGACTGATAGTGGCAGATCTGAAAACGCCGGCTGAGGTGACAGCAGAACGATGAAGCAACAGCGGCAGTATGGTACGTCATCGATTGAATGGAAGCACACTACACGCATAAACTGTAGTGAATAATAATTTGTTAAAAATATGCCACCTCTTTTCAGCAAACATACGATTGTATTCCCAGCCTTTGAATACGCATGCGTGGGATATTACAGCTGGTTCACTTCTGTTTATGAAAGAAAAATAACAATTAATGATATCGCATCATTCACCGAACTCAAATGCTGAAAGAGCTGTAGGTTTCAATTGTTGCGACTTAATAAGGTGTGTGCGGAGGGCCTGAAACTCATCACAGTTTGCGAACCCATCGTTAAAATAAACAGCATCAGTTATAAAGCATCATATTTTCATATTATTGTAAAGCCACAAAAACAACGATAGAGTTTAATAGATATTTACCATTTTATTCACAATCATATAATGCTAATAGAAACATATAACCAATCGTACCGCCAACACCACGATGATGTATCATAGTGACTGTCATTATCATCATCATCATCATTCATCATCATCATCATCGTCGTCGTCATTATCATAACGATTATCACCATCATACGATCGCCACCACCACAGCACCATCATCATGATCGCCATCATCAGAATCATCATCGAATTCATCTTCATCATCATTATTATTATTATTATATCATAATAATTATCATTGCCATCATCAACAACAGTGGCGGATCCAGGAATTTGAAATAGAGGGGGACCAGAGAGAGACATTCACAGATGGAGGGTCTATACTTCTTCAGCGCCACCATGGTTGGGGCTGAGGTAAGAAAGTTTATGATTATGGCACCTCTAGATGGCCGGAAATGGCACTCTCAGACTCAAAAATTTAAGCAGAATTTTTTTTTTCTCAATTTATTTTTTATATTTTGATTTGGGGGGGGGGGTCCCCCTCCTTGAATCCGCCACTGAACAACATTGTCGTAATCATCGCCATAACCATCCTTATCAGTATGATCACCGCCATTACTAACAACACAGTCATCGTCATCATTGTAGGCCTACCAATAATTTGCTAAAGAAGAATAAATAAACAGACACACACATCAATATATCCCTGCAAAGAATCAGGCTTCCTTCATCTCTGCATGAATCTAATCGTTTGGCGAATTTCCGTTCGGGCAGATGTTTTTTTTTTTCTCATCTTAACTTTCGCAGATAGCAGTAGTCCTATCTCCTCTATGTGTCCAAGTATACCAACATATTCAGTTATTGTTTCTAGTATTTGACTTGAGAGATGCCGGTTGATGTTTGTTTCGTGCGTATCGACTCCTGCATAGTCTATCATAAACATGCTGATAATTAAATTTTAGATAAACCAGTGATGGATCCAGGAATTGGCAAATAGGAGAAATAGTCCCCGGCAGCAGACAAAATATCACTAACCGAAAGTGTGATTATTATTAGCCATACAATTCTGGGGACTCCCGAGAATATTTGCCCGTATAATTCAAAATCGAAAAAAACGATCGACTGCAATCGATACCTTAATCGAAGGAATTTTTCTCTCAATACTTAAAATCTAAATTCGCTATTTTGAAGGAATTTAGACTCTAAAAATGCTCTTCTGACAATATAAATAACAATTGACATTTATATAGCGCATATTGCATGGACTGCCACTATGCTCTTTATATCAACTAAAGAAAATTTAAAACAAAGTACAGGTAACTATAAAAATAAAGAGAAAAAAAATGTATGGTAAAAAACAATGCAACGGTCTCAGGGCCAACCATCCATCTTTTCTCTGGCGCAATCTCAGAAGCAGGTTTCACATTTTAAATGAACTGGCATAAAATATTATTACAAGCTTTTTATTCTCATTTTCCTTTTTGACCACCATTATTATAACGTTTTCTACTTTGTTCACTCTAAAATATCCAATACGGTAGGTTTATAATCTATCAATCAACAAACTTTATTTCAAAAAACAGTTCTCGTAATTTCGAAAGCTCCGATGTGGGCAGTATAATAGAAGCAGTAGATTTTTAAAAAGATCTATAATAATCAATCAACTATTAATCAATCAGCCTCATGAGGGCAGTATAATAGAGGCAGTAGACTGAAAAAGATCTAGGCCTATTAATCAATCAGCCAAGTGTTTCTAGAGCTCCATCGGAGCTAATAAGTCTGCAGAGTAAAAAAATACGCTGTACAGTACAATGGAAAGAGGACAAGGCAAAACAAATTATAAACGATTCTTCTCAATCTTTTCTGATGAAGTCTCGAATAAATTGTGATTTTTAACTTACGCTAAGCCTACTGTTGCTGCGTGGTTTACATGTTTCGATAACACCTAATTTTATACCTCGTTAAAAAGAGGTGTGAAGTACTGTTTTGGCCGGTGTTACCTAAACGACAACCGATACTACCACCTTCCCCCAATCCCCACCCTAATGACGCCAACCCAGTAAGTAAGTATAACTGTTGGCAACCACGTATAAATTCACAGATTACAAATCATCTTTATTGCAACTACAGGCCCGTATCCAGGAGGGGTTTTTATGGTTCGGGAGAACCACCTTTTCTAGCAAACCCCCTCTTTTTATAGCGAACCCCCTCTTCAAATTTCCCAAATAAGTCCTCCAACCTAACTAATGCACTGCAGACCCACCCAGACACAGACTTTTTCAAACATATCTGCTTTTATAGCATTATTTAGACCCATAAAGCACAAAAATCCTCTTGCTTTGGGGGTTTTGCCGACCCCACCGGGGCTTCGACCGTGGACCTCACGCCCAAAATACCCCCCTTGGAAGGACCTGGTTACGGGCCTGAACTATGAAATGTAACATACAGAAATTGGATTTACAGTTTTTAAAAAAAAAATACACATAAAAAGCGAAAATAAAAAGATAGAAGAATCATTCACTCAACACCAAAAATATAACAGAATAAACTGAATTAAAACAATATTCATCTTAAAAGATCAGCATGAATAATATTGTTAAAAACCCCACTGACATAAAAAAAAAAGTAAAAAAAGACATTAATATAATTATTTATTCCATATGTGCTTTCTCATTTCTAAGATCATTTCTAAGTAAATAATTATTGCCATGCTATTGAATGACTAAATTTGTATAGGCCTATTTCCTATAAAGTACTAACAGGCTGTAACAGTAATAAAACTTGGCATTACTATACTATATTTAGAAATAGAGGGCAGTATTGACTACTGTTCAAATTTATAAGGCGCACAGTTTGCACAGTAAGCTTTATTTTTACTGCTAATTTATGGCGAGCCGAGTTGTCATTTAATCATAAATAGAGATATCTTAGTTTTAAATAGAGATATCTTAGTTTTAAATAGAGATATCCCTATTAAAAGAGATATCTTTGTTAATAGAGATATCTCTATTTAAAACTAAGATATCTCTATTTAAAACAAAGATATCATTATCTAAAACTAAGATATCTATATTAAAAACTAAGATATCTCTATTGAAAACTAAGATATCTCTATTTTCATTGTAAATAGAGATATCTTAGTTTTGAATAGAGATATCTTAGTTTAAAATATAGATAGGGCCTATCTTAGTTTAAAATAGAGATATCTTAGTTTTAAATAGAGATATCTTAGTTTTAAATAGAGATATCCCTATTAAAAGTGATATCTTTGTTAATAGAGATATCTCTATTTAAAACTAAGATATCTCTATTTAAAAAAAGATATCATTATCTAAAACTAAGATATCTATATTCAAAACTAAGATATCTCTATTGAAAACTAAGATATCTCTATTTTCATTGTAAATAGAGATATCTTAGTTTTGAATAGAGATATCTTAGTTTAAAATAGATATAGGGCCTATCTTAGTTTAAAATAGAGATAACTTAGTTTTAAATAGAGATATCTTAGTTTTAAATAGAGATATCCATGTTAAAAGAGATATCTTTGTTTAAACTAAGATATCTCTATTAAAAACTAAGATATCTCTATTTAAAACTAAGATATCTTTATTTACGATTAAATGACAACTCGGCTCGCCATACTAATTCGAGCAGTACTATTTATAGTCAGTGTACTTTATTTGCAGTGCGCCATCGTCATTATAATTCTGAGAAGTTATCTTTGAATCCATTAATCATTCACTTAGTAACGATAGATTTTATCAGTGATTCGTTATGTAAGTCCCGCAAACTAATTCATTACCGATCTTGTCATGTGTGAAATTCTCAGATTACGGGATAATTATCGGAGGAGAAACCAATAATTTTTTATCCTTTACACGATTTGTCAATGATGAATTTGATTTGCCTTACGAAGTTAATCACTTCATGTGCTGTCGCTACTCGGGGGTCAATGGAAGCATAACGTGGTGATTATGAGATATACCGCCTCTTAGAGCAAAATATAATATCAATATTTGTTAATTGTTTAATTTGTATACATGTACAAGATTAGCATTAGCGACTGAAAACTAGACTAGGTAAACACGTACTTCCCAATCAACGGATGCACGATATAATAGCATATAACTTTATTGCCGTTTACATGATAAAGTATAAATTGAATTTTGAGATTGATACATAAAAACGAAAATGATTTCAAAGACAGGAAATTACCTGCATAAGCTTTGTTCAGATTATCAAATTTTCTTGGACAATTGTTGTATATATAGTCATGGTGTGCCTATATATGGTCATGATGTGATGTCATCATGACCATATTTAGGCATGTCACATGTTTTTGTCAAATAAAAGTTGATAGTGTAAGTGAGCTTTAAACTGCATATCTGTTTGCATCATCCCTGTATAAATTGGTTGGAATTAATTTAAAGATGTTCTTGGTTTAAAGTCTTAAAATTCAGAGAAACTAACTAGCTTCAATGTTTAGGGTATATCACTGGAATAGAATATCTTCGATCCTTTTATGAGTTAACGTATTTGTTCGAATAAACGCCCGCTTTGAAAAACCGCCTCCTCAAAAAATGTCATTTGGAATAAACGCCTCCCTCGAACAAATGCCCGGGGCGTTTATTCTTTGCTCGAATAAATGCCCCTTAAATGACTGCACACAAATCTAATGGAAGCATTCTCAACACATTCTGTTAATGTTCTACTCCAGTAGAATTACATTTTTACTAACCTGGGTTTAACGTGGAGGAATTAAGGGTTTAATAAGTCGTTATGATCACGAAATAACACATTTTGACGATAATTTGTTTGTTGTAGTTCCACATCTACAGTAAAATTAAGGGGCCTTTATTTGAGTATAAACGTACGTATCCATTTTACATTAAAAAAAAGAATAAAAATAACGCTTTTCTCATGGAATAAACGCATCCCCCGAATAAACGCCCCTTAAAAACGCTTCTCAACAATAAACGACCCGGGGCGTTTATTCGAATAAATACGGTATGTGATGTACATTTAGGTGGGTCATGAGAATATAATTAAATACGGTAACGTCTATGTGTGCGTTATTTTCTCCTTAAAGGAGAACACTGATAGTATTGGTGTTAATTTCATAAGATGTAGATACTAAAAGGTTTTTATTTCATGTTGTTGACAATGCCCCGAATTTTACCGATGACCCCTCCTGAGATAAATCACAATCCCGCAGAAGCAGAGGAAATAAATCATATCATTTTTCGTCTGCTCTCCTTGGCTCCATGATGGATTCTTTCGAGCAGCGTTTAAGGCGCGTTCGTGAGAGTGCCACAGCGCGCGAAAGAAGACGTCTCCTATTGGTCAATGACGCGTACACCAGGTTAAGCAACGCACTGCCGCAAGACTTCATTGGGAATGGTACTAAGCTAGATATTCTTAGAGGTGCTGTTAAATACATCACATTGCTGGACCTACAGTTAAAGAAACCAGAAGCGTCGGAACCAAAGACACAGATAAATCAGTCGTATGGCACCACTGATTATGATGCAGACTCTGAGATGGAAATTAAGTAAGTTCTTTACGTTCTTCATAAGAAAGTTTACGTGTTCTATTTTCTTATAAGTTATTTATAATAATACGATACAATATTATTAATTAAAGCGTCGATTTATGTCATGAATTATGATATCATTTGAGTAAATTTATATAAGAAATAGGCCTATTATTAATTTGCTTCGTTTCAGTGAGCCTTCTCTTAAGACTAAGCAATAGGCCTATTACTTACTCGCATTGTTCCAATCTCTCAAACCTCTATGTACCGGGCCTCCCTCCAATTAAAGACCATTTTTGTGATCGGTTTTTCCATGACCTTTAGCAGCTTCGGTCTCTAATTAGAATAATAAAGATAAACAAAAACAACATTTGTTAATTTGGGACCACAGAAAAGTGGTCTTTAATTGGAGGTTCTTTAATTAGAGGGAGACCTGTATCTAAATACCATGTTTCTGTACCATTTATATGACTTATTTTTAGGAGTAGGTCTAAGGGTTGTTGTTGTATTTACTCGTTTGATCCTTACACAGAAGAACCCACAGAAGTAGGCACACAGTTGGGTGGTATGTTATTCACTATTATTTGGACACATGATCAGTTAATGACGGACTTAACAATGTGCATGTTGTCATGCTATCATCGACGAGCATCTCAAAGTAAAGTTACATAAAAATAACAAATTCCTACTCATTTCAAGGCGCTCACCTATGTTCAGCTGTTGCTGTTTTTGTTTCGCTACTGAGACCATAACATACCTTCCCCGAAGTAGCCAAATGATGCTTCTTCATGAAGAGCGAACTCACAATGTTGCGGTTTAACGTGAATTAGAAGATCATGATAAACTCGACGCGTAGGTTCACATAGAAGATCATGATAAACGAACTCACGTTAAATTCTGAATGTGAACCTAGCTAAAGACTCATTTCAATTCAAATAAAAATTTATCTCATCATAAAAAATAAACAGTTACAATAGAAACAATTAAATGGATGAAAATTGAAGAGGGCATTAGGCAAGAAAGCAAATGCTTGTGTGCGGAAAGCCCAATTATTCTGAATAGGGATACCGGTTAATAGTTGCCGACAACTCGACCGGACGGAGTTTAATGTTACACTATGACTACCTTAAAAACCATCCCCCGCCAGACACTACCTATGTATTTCTAGGTTTCGGGACTAATTCGTTGTTTTTTAAATACATGAACAGTTATTTGCCAAGTTTGCTTAGAATGAAAAGACATATTATATGTAATATATGAGTCACATGAATTTAGGTCTACTTATTTTTCCATTATTTCAATTGGAACTAACTATTATCATCATTATTATCTTCAGGATATCGATATCATAGGGCCTAGTAACAACCACTTTCCATAATTTAGAATCGCGTTTTATTTTTCACGGCAGTTTCTGACTGTAAAAGGTGTCATAGGCTAATAATATCATCCTCATCATCATGACATCATTATATTAGCATATCATTGTCATAATCATCATCTTCAAGACCTTTATTATCTGCATAAAAATTGTCGGTCATTATTTTACGTTTACTTTACCCGTCTTCGTTACCAACCGTACTCTCGGTTTATGTTTCTTATGCATTGATCGAGTTCCTAGTCCACATTTCAAGCGCCCTGAGCATCTTACATTAGATGGATATGTGCGCTATATAAAACTACACTATTATTAGTATTATTATTATTATTATTATTATTATTATTATTATTATTATTATTATTATTATTATTATTATTATTAATATTTATTATTATTATTATTTATTATTATTATTATTTATTATTTATTATCATTTATTATTATTTATTATTATTTTATTTTATAATTATTATTATTATTATTTATTATTATTATTTTATTTTATTATTTTTATTTATTATTATTTTAAATATTTTTATTATTATTTTTATTTATCTATAATCTAACAGGAACGATGTTCCCACTTCGAGACCCGGGTAATTATTTAAATTACAATGTTATAACACACAATTTACAATAAAACGAACAATTTAGTTATAACAATCGCAATTTACAATAAAACGAACAATTTAAATTACATTAATTCATTTTAAAATTATTCACTTTTACCCTAAAAAACACGTCAACAACAAAAACTACAATTGCGATAAATACTGATTAACGCAACAATTAAACACATTAAAACAACCATGGAACAAACCATCTCCAGGGCATTTGACAAGAAAATTATTATACAAACAAGACAAAAAATCGAGAATTAAAAGCATAGTTATAAACATTCACATGACGACGGAATGTAATTTGAGACAGACCAACTTGACGAAGACGACTACTTGAAACTCTAAATATGTATTGTCCCCTAAAAATGACAAAAATCATCAAAAATAATGTTTTGAAATTAATTTTCTCATTTTTCAGTAACGTACACATTATTAACTTGAGCATAGAAATTATTGAATTTAAAAAATGTTAACCCTTATTGAATAATGATAAAAATATTCCATTGACTGGAAGTGTTTCTATTATTTTCCGCGTAAAATTATGGATAAATATTTTCTAAATACAATAAATTTTATTTTCTAGTTAATTTGTATGTACTTAAAATGAGCAAGTTACTTTCAAAAATGATTTTTATGATTTTTTGGGTATTTTTCATTGGAAAATACATTATTTTTAAACGAAAAATGTGAAATAATGCTATTAAGTGCAGCATCAACAATCATGTTTATTATGTGCCTTTTTTTTTAACTACGAAAGTTTATCATTTAGTAACTTTGTCATACCACTTCTTCATTGGTAGAACCAATAGGATGGTTAATCTGGTGTAAACAACTTTAAAATCTATTTATTAAAACAAAATTAAACATCATTGAAGGAGTTGTTTACAGGGTCGACCTTGGGAGTCATGTCGCCTACCCATATCAATGCTCACCACTCCTCACCCCTTCGAGTATTTCCCGAATAAGGTGTAACGAAGTACCCGCTTAAAGTCAAATACAATTTATAGCAACATTGTTTTGACTCAGGGTGTAATTTGAACTAAGATAGGCCCATTATTAGTAGAATCCAGCAATTTATTAAAACAAAAATTAAACATCATTGAAGCAGTTGTTTACAGGGTATACCTTGGGAGTCATGTCGCCTACTCAAATGCTCACCACTCCTCACCCCTTCGAGTATTTCCCGAATAAGGTGTTGCGAAGTACCCGCTTAAAGTCAGGCTCCGAAGTAAAAAAAATGTTTGATATGTTGTAGCATTGATTTTTCTAAGACGGAAAAAAGTTGTCTGACGTAAAACTGGGGAAATGGGATACAGATTTTTGAATATTTAAAAACTGGGGGAAAAGGGGCGGATTTTTAAACCTTTTTTTAAATTTTACTTATGATTAAAACCATACGATGTAACTTTCAATTAGTTTCCCAAAGTGTTGATGAATAAAAGAATGGATGAATTGAAGAATGAACTAAAGAACAAACAAACAAACGGATATATGGATGAACAGAGGGATGGATTGATGAAGGACGGATGAACTAATCATTGAATGAATGAATAAATCATTCAATGAATGAATGAATGATTGAATAAGCGAATGAATGAATTAATGATTGATTGAATAAAAGAACGACTAAATTATTGAATACATAAATTTATGAATGAATGAACGATTAATTAAATAAAAGAACGAATGAATAAATAACATGAATGAATGAACGATTAATTGAATAAAATGACGAATAAATAAATGAATGAATGAGTACATGAACGAATAATTGAATGAAAGAACGAATGAGTGAATGAATTAATGAATAAATGAACGATTCATTGAACAAAAAAACGAATGAATGAATGACAGACTGAATTAATGAATGAATGTTAGAATAAATGATTGAATGAACGAACAAACAAAAGATTGAATGAATGAAAGAACGACGAATGATAGAATGAATGAATGAATGAATGAAAGTATGAACGAATGAATGAGCGGATGGAAGACCTATTAACTAATATATTTTAACTCCCTTCTTTTCTCTCTCTCTCTACAGATAGGGGTATCGGTATTTGCACAATTGAACACCGGACATTGATAGATTTGGACGACCCTCCACCTAAGTTCAATATATCGTGGTATTAAGTAAATTTATTGTTTTCAAATGTGTATAATATCTTTCTATTTCAAATCCATTCAATTATGCCTGTACCATATTTTAAATAAACAGTAAAACATTTACATCGACAAAATCGCAAATCTTGTAACAACGTTTTCATAATAACGCAGCCACCAACCGTTTTACACTGCGTTTTGTTTCTATTCATAAACCTCAGTTTAAGAACTTCTTACAGCTCATGTGTAGGCCTACTACTTAGGCGATTGAAGAAAAGCGGATTTGTATTGCTAGAAAGTGGGTATTCAACTTATTCCACGGGCGGTATTTCAGACAGAAAGCTGACTAATGGAGTGAAGTTTGTTTTACGTAATTGCAGATGCTCTTTCTACGCACACCTTATTGTTCGATGGATCTCCTACGACTAGCGGACAAATCAATTAGAAGGTGTAAATTTGATGTCGGTTGGTGGTTTAATACTCTACGAATTTGTTTGAAAAACGCTTAAATGTCAGCATTATGCAGACGATAATCGCTACTGTTTTGCGCTTGACTCTTTTTAGTATGTTTTTTTGCTCCTAAAAGGGACAGCATATTCAAAGATTAGAGGTGAAAACTGTGAATTATCACAACTTTTTGTAAACTTAGGATATTATAACAACCGTTGTAATGTGATGAGAAGAGAATGTGTAGGCCTATACTGTATAGGCCTACTAGGCCTATCTAATATAGGCCTAGGCCTACCCTTACCACCGAGATGCTATGGACTTCCAACGATTTTTCTCAATTACAAACTCAGTTAGGACGGAGAGGTACGTAATTGTAAAATGTGAATGCGGCCATTTACCAGCCTATATAGATACGATATTCTTTTTCGTGAAAATTTTGTGAATAGGCCTCATAGAAGTTTACATTTCACGAAAACGTTAGATAAAATGTATGCTCTCCTTAATTCCCTATCTAAAGTATTTTCATTAATTCCACTTTACAAAGTTGTTTTTCGGAACTCTTTACACGTTCTATTGAGACAACGGATTTGCGATGAGTTTGTGTTAGGCCAGGAGTAAAGTGGTAAAACGCTAATCAAACACTTACGCCGTTAAGTATCTAATCTCCGTCACAATACCACACAACTTATTCTCCTTCTTTCCTATTCAAATTTATCGCACCTTTTGTAATATGACATAGGTGGTGTTTTAATAATGTGACTAAGTAAAAAAAACACATATTTTATTTGTAAATTACATCACTATTATAGGCATAAGCACATCACGCCTACTTGATATAACCATAATCTACCTTACAGTAAAATCAAATAATGGGGCTTATACTAAAAAAATGTATGCGCATTGTTGAAGATATACCGTCTAGGATAAAATAAAATAAAATGCTCATGCATTTAAGAGTATAAAAATAAATTCCAGTGTCGAAATATATTTGACTTCAATGATTTATTGACGTTTTACACCAAAATTCATTAATTACCAGTTATAGGGTCAAAGTATATTCACCTCCTTAAGCTATGGCCACACTATCAAATTCTGTGTGACAAATAAATGCGATATGCCCATATTTGGGTGTAATATGGGCAAATCA